TATTTCTTATTTTTTTTTTTCTAAAATTTCTTTAAGTATAATTTGCATTTCTTATATTGTTATACCCTGAACCCATTGAAAAGGGGAAATCAGGGTATAATGGTTTTGTGAAGAAGTATGTAACGGGCAGAAGGAATCATCGCAGACCCCATAAAGTATATATATCGGACATTATCGATATAAGAGTACATTCGATAGTTCTTTAACTCTTTCTACAGAAGATATTATCAGTTGAGCAAATATCAATGTAACTGTCATGCGCAGCGATTACCTTAAGTATAGCTAACGCCCAGGGTAATTTCATACTACTTTAATTGAAAGATTCAAGCATGTTATAAATATATTTGCTAGGCTCAAGAACAATACATATAAGTAACATTACATTGAATTTAATGAAATTGAAGCCTCTTAATTTCCAATAACTCAACTACAAAGTCATCAAAGCCTCTCGGCTATAGCTGCAGTGCGTCAAACACAGCAGGAGACGCCGATGATGCACTGAACCATAACTAGAGCAACTCAATCATAGCACAACAGGACTCCTACTTACCGTTCCAGGAAATTCAAACCGAACTTGGCCAAATAGATGAAGCCGTGTATCGAGGATCCTTGAAGAAATTCTATGATGAAAGCCTGCAGCTTGGCCAGATATGGCAGTGGAGCCACCTGCTGCTCCTCTTTAAGCGGTTCCTCCGCCTCCGCTTTGATGGCCGGTGGCTGCCAGAGCGGCGGTCGGCGAAAGCTGCGTATGCTATTCGGCTTGCGGCGATTGAGCGATGCATCTTGCTCTCCATTAGCATTCGAGACTGACTTTTCCAGCTGGCGCTCTTTGGCTGCCCGCCGTTGATCGGCTCGCAGGGCTGTGCCCGGAAAGAGCAGCAGACCCGGACCCACGCGAGAGCCCGATCTTAGAGGCGTACTCTTCAGCTGCTGCTGCACCAGTGAGGCGGTGGATGCTGTGCGCGAGTCTTCGCTGTCTGTCCAGCTAGCCGTTGTGGTTGGACTCAAGCTTTGGTTCTCTTCCTGCTGCATAGTTATGTGGGCGAAAATCTGTAAGAGAAGAGGGGAAAATTGTTAGTATAAATACTTTTAGTCAATGAAGCTCAGCAGAATATTAAGTTATGGCCTATATTATTTTTGGATTATGAATTTAAGCATTGAATTTAAGCGTAATCTTTTCGAGGCTGAAATAGTATATGTAGTAGATAGCGCATGTATCTGTGTGTGCGAATGTGTAAGCAGAAAACAAGCAAAGAACTATTGAAATTTCAGATCCTCGAAGGGTTCAGGAAATTCAGTGAATTAATATACATGTTTGTATATGTTAGATATGCATGATAGGCATATAAGAGCTGATTTGTCCAGATTTTGTTTTGTTTTTATTACTATTTTGTAAATATTTAATTAACGTACATATTTTGTCGATATGCAGGTTTAAAAGGTATATGTAAGAGTAGATTTTCTTTAATTACAATAAATATTTCCCAAATTTTGTTGTATTATTAGTATTTGAATTAATATATATAGTCGACATATATGTATGTATATATGGTAGGCATATGAGAGAAGTTTTTTTTTTAAGTTTTTTTTTTTAGTATTAAATTTGCAAGTATTAAATAAATATATAGTCGAGTTGTTTTTCCTGAGCTCAACTTTTTTTTTTTGCTAAATTACTATTCAAATACTGAATTTATTATGTAAATATTATATTCAAATATACAGTAGATATATGATAGGCGTATATTAGCAAATAATATGTTTTTTTGTTAATATTGAATAAATATATTTAGTATTTATTTGATAGGCACATCAGAGCTGTATTTTTCAGAGTTTTGTTTTTTTCTTAAATTATAATTTAAGCATTGCATTAATTATGTAAATATTTAATTAATATAAATAGTAGATAGACATATAAGAACTGCAGTTCTTATTTTTTTGTATTACAATTTTCGGATTATTTTTTAACAAATAAATTAATCTAGTTTTACATATTTTTTTAGAGTTACACAAATTTAAATCATAATAAAAGCTCGAAATTTATTTTTTAAGTCAATATAAACGGATTTTGTTAAATGTACTTGAGCTGGGCACATAAAACAATAGATTAAATTGGCATGCTAACACATATTATGTGTAGTATATTATATACATATATATTCATTTATAATTATATTTACATTAAATATAAAAACAAGTCAGCTATTTACTGGTCTATATTATTATGCATAGATTGCAGCTAAAGTGCTGGCTGTTGCCCGTTCGATTCGCTTAAATTATTTACAATTTACAATTTGCAATTTGCTCTGCTTTATTCGCATAAAGCGTTTATTATACGAATCAGTCTTTCTCTCTCTCTTTCTCTCTCTTCCTATATATATATATATCCTTCGTTAAGCATAAAAACGTCGTTTTAAATATGTTTTCCTGACGCAACAACAACAACAATAAATTATTATTGCAATTTTTTTTAATGCGATGTAAATTATGTCGTTGCAGCTGTGTGAGTACTCACAGTGTGCGTGTATGTGTATGTGTATGTGTGCGTGTGTGGGTGTATTTCGTATAAAGCCATTGAAAAGGCAATCAATATGTAGCACTGGACACTGAAGTACATATGTGTATGTGTGTATGTGTATAGATGGATAGATTGTATATAAACCTCAACAGACAACTGCCATCAGAAATGAGGCATTAAAGTTGCGCATAATTTGGTTAAGATTACATTCACTCAGCTGCCCTATGAATGGAGCCCAAACGAGCTGAGCCGAGCCGAGAGAGATTGAATGAGCGTATATTTATATTATATTTATATACACCTATATATATATGTATGTGTGTATGTATCATAATAATGCGTTAATTGGATACAATATGGCACAGTAGACTTTTTATTTCAAATTATAAAGTAGGCTATCAAGTTTTTAACAAACATTAAATCAGCCGAGAATTGCGCTTAATTCATTTTTTGTTTCAGAGAATTTAAGAGAATTTAAAGTAGAGCATAGAGCCTTGTAAATTTTTTAAAATAATAAAGCCTTCCAGAATATTTTTTCTTAAACAGAAATCACACCAAGAATAACGTCAATTTTTTTAAATTTTAATTTTAATAAAATAAAAGAAAAGTTATAATTTAGCCCACATCGACTTTAAGGTCTTCAAGGAACCTCTACAAAATAATTGTAGCAAACATAAAAACCATCGAGAATTCAATTTTATATTTTTTGTGTGTAATATTTCCTATTATTTGTCTTACAAAGAAAAGGTAAGTTTTTACGACCTTCGCACTGTCCCACTAAAAACTCCCATTGCAGTTCCAATTGGAAAATGAGCATGGTCGACTATCGCTTGTATTTGTGCAGCAAGTGCTGCCGGCGCTGCCTGTGGCACGAGCTGTCCCCCCAGGAGCATCGCTGCGCACGCTGCCGGCTGCCGCTGCAGTCCTGCGAGATCTGTGATCGCCGCTTCGAGCCGCGGGATCGGGAGGAGCTCTACTGCAAGCGCTGTGACTTCCATTTAATAAAGCAGGCCTCGCATACGCCGCCGCCAGTTCTGGAGCTGGATCTGGATACGGAGACGGAACCGGAAACGGAAGCGGAGCCTGATCTAATAGAACCGCCACGCGTCCGCTCGATGGCACAGCGCTGGAGGGACATCAAGTCGGCAGCGGGCATCGAGGACGATCCATGTTTCCTTGAGTGATGTCCAGGCTAGGGTATTGTTTCCTTGACCCCAAGTGCTCCACAAAAATATATACATAGCGCTGCTATGATCACACTTCAATCCCTGCTCCATTTGGGCAACTTACATGCGGTCGAGCGTGGGTGCATTAAGACCTCCAGCTCATTATAATCAGTTTGTAGCATCCGGATTGGGGTCACATTATTGGGGCTGTGCTGCACGCTGATGGGCTTCGATGGGTCGGCGTCTGTAACATCAAACGGCTCTGCACACAGTACACAGTCCTTAAAATGGATTAAAATTTCATTTAAATTTGCATTTAAATGAGCGCCGCGCACTCAAAGTAAATGCCCTCACTTAAGCGCAGGACAAAGGGCTGACCAGACCCAGACCCAGACTCAGACTCAGACACTGAGACATCCAGACAGAATTCGAGAGTGCGATAGGTCCGGCTTGCCACATGGGCAACATTAAAAGCTCTTTGTTTTTGCTTTTATTTTTTTCAGTGTATTTGCCCTTTTTTTACGCAACATTTCTACTGGCAGCTGCAGTTTCAGTTGATTACCTTTGGCAGCTGATAGGATAGGCGAGGCGTGGGCTTAAGCGAGCGATCTGCTGCTCCTGCTCCTGCTGCTCCTGCTGCTGCTGCTGCTGCTGCATTTTAATGGGTATTATTTAAATATGTATATTTTACAATTAAATAAACGATTTTTATGCTCTTATGGCGCCCAGTTCCAATTTCAGCTGCTGTCCGGCCACCACAGGAATCCTTTCAGGTAGCCCAGCCCAGTCCAGGCCAGTCCAGTCCTGCCCAGACAGGGACTCGTGTGTATTTTCCGCTTTGCGTGTTAATTAAATTGCAAAACTGCCTTAAGGACATTTTAATTGGCCTTCACTTTGTGGCACACTCCATGTATGTTGTGCACCAGTTGCAGTTAGTCCCATTTCCAGCTTTCAGCTGCACTAGCTTCCCTTGTCTGCCAACTAATTCACGATATTTTTGCTATCGATATATTTGCAATGTTCATAAATGCATTGAATATGAGTTTTATTATAATATAATATATTTT